TCTTCAAGGTAAGACCTAAACCAACTTAGGGCGGTGCCAGCGACTCCAACCCAGTCCTCTAGTCTCTGTAAGAGGATCTCATGGTCGACGGTGTCAAAGGCAGCACTCAGATCTAACAAGATTAAGATTGAGATTTTGCCTGCGTCAGTGTTCAGCCGGATATCGTTTGTAACCTTGACAAGAGCAGTCTCAGTGCTGTGGTGGGGTCTAAAGCCGGACTGAAACATATCAAATGAGTTGTTAATTATAAGAAATCTAGTAAGCTGTAGGTAGACAACTTTTTCAAGGACTTTCCCCATAAATGGCAGATTTAACGTGGTGGGCAAGTTTGAGTACTCGGATGATCCTGGGAGCTATGCTGTCTGGGGCTTCATGCCTCTGGTAGGGTCTCCCATGGCAGACAGGTCTCAGGTGACGAGTCAGACGAAGAGCGGTCCGAAGACACAATGGACAGCACTAATAGAATAACAGTCATGTCGCCCGGCATGGCGCAGCCGGGACCCCACCCTGGAGCCAAGCCTGGGGTCGGGGCTCGTATGCCGGGCCTTAGCCCACGGGGCCCGGCCGGGCTCAGCCCGAAAGGACGACGTGGCCAGTCCCTCGTGTGGGCCCACCACCTGCAGAGGGGTCTGTGGTGGCGAAACGGTGCTGAGAGGACTGGGCAGCAGTCGAAGGCGGAGACCTCGGCGACCCAGTCCGCACACACAACATCTGGCTCTTGGGACGTGGAACGTCACCTCGCTGGGGGGGGAGGAGCCCGAGCTCGTGGGGGAGGTCGAGCGATACCGACTAGAGATAGTAGGCCTCACCTCCACACACAGCTTTGGCTCTGGAACCCAACTCCTTGAGAGGGGTTGGACGCTCCACTTTTCTGGTGTCTCTCGCCGGGAGAGGCAGCGAGGTGGGGTGGCCATACTCATTGCCCCCCATCTCAGCCGCCACGTGTTGGAGTTCTCCCCGGTGAATGAGAGGGTCGCGTCCCTCCGCCTTCGGGTGGGGGACAAGTCTCTCACTGTTGTGACGGCCTACGGGCCTAACAGCAGTGCAGAGTACCCGGCCTTCTTGGAGTCCTTGGGAGGTGTACTGGACGGTACACCGCCCGGGGACTCCGTTATTCTCCTGGGGGACTTTAACGCCCATGTGGGAAATGCCAGTGACACTTGGAGAGGGGTGATAGGGAAGAACGGCCCCGCTGATCTGAACCCGAGCGGTGTTCAGTTGTTGGACTTCTGTGCCAGTCACGGTTTGTCCATCACGAACACCATGTTCGAGCACAAGGGTGTCCACCAGTGCACGTGGCACCAGGTCACCCTAGGCCAGAGGTCGATGATCGACTTTGTTGTTGTATCATCTGACCTTCGACCGCGTGTCTCGGACACTCGGGTGAAGAGAGGGGTGGAGCTGTCAACCGATCACCACCTGGTTGTGAGGGGAGGAAGCCGGTCAGACCTGGCAGGCCCAAGCGTGTAGTGAGGGTCTGCTGGGAACGTCTCGCTGTGCCCCCTGTCAGACGGACTTTCAACTCACACCTCCGGGAGAGCTTCTCCCAGGTCCCGGCGGAGGAGGGGGTGTTATGTTTGGGCACCTTTTCCCCCCTTTTGGTTTTATCTTATCATCTTTTTGTCCAGGTATTTTTGGGTTTTATAGTTTTTTGTAAGATTGTGTTTTGTATAAGTATATCTTATAGGTTGCATTTTTGATAACGTTTTTGTAACTTATTTTGTATATTTTGCAGCTCGGGTCGGGAGTATAAGAAGCGCTGTCCTGGTGCGCTCCCGCCCCTCTCTCCTCTCTGCCTTTTGCAAACTCCTGCTGAGGTGAGCGTGCACGCGCTGCGCGCTCCCTCCTAGTCCTGGTTTGCGGCCTCCCCAGACGCCGCATGGTTTGGTTGTTGCTTTAGCCATTTGGTTAGCCTTTTTTCCTTGTCCTTATTTTTGTTTGAGCTGGTGGGTCCGGTGGTTACATTTTCGTTGGAGGGTGTAGCTAGTTGGATTTTGTTTATTCTTTAGTTAGGGTGCCGGCAACGGATCCGGACGGCCCTGTATAGGGTTGGTTCGGTGTCGGCCCATTTTTGTTTGTTTTGGCTGGCCCACCAGGTCCACCTTTAATTTGATTACTTTGGGTTTTTGTATTCTGGACACGGGGTTGGTTTGCTTTAATATTCATATTAATCAATAATAACAAACTAGAGTTCAGTTAAAAGAACATGTATAAATAAAATCATTATTTTTGAACTCTAAACTTGTCTCTGTGTCCTTAAAATATGTTTTGTCCTTCGGGTCGTAACAGGGGGACATTGAGTCTGAGTGGACCATGTTCTCTTCCTCTATTGCCGATGCGGCAGCTCGTAGCTGTGATCGCAAGGTCTCTGGTGCTGGTCCCGGCGGCAACCCCCGAACCCGATGGTGGACACCGGCAGTAAGGGATGCCGTCAGGCTGAAGAAGGAGTCCTATCGAGCCATGATGGTTCGGGGGACTCCTGAGGCAGCTGTCCAGTACCGGCAGGCCAAGCGTTGCAGAGGCAAAAACCCGGGTCTGGGAGGAGTTTGGAGAGTCCATGGAGCATGACTATCGGTCGGCCTCGAAGAGATTCTGGCAAACCGTCTGGCGCCTCAGGAGGGGGAAGCAGTGCTTTGCCAACACCGTGTGTGGTGCGGGTGGAGAGCTGCTGACCTTGACTGGGGATATTGTCGGGCGGTGGAAGGAATACTTAGAGGTTCTCCTCAACCCCCCCGTCACATCCTCCGTCCCGGAGGCAGAGGCTGAAGATGTTGGAACGGATACCTCCATCTCCCTGGCAGAGGTCACCAAGGTGGTTGGCAGCCTCCTTGGTGGCAAGGCGCCGGGAGTGGATGAGATCCGTCTTGACTATCTAAAGTCTCTGGATGTTGTAGAACTATCTTGGCTGACACGTCTCTGCAACATCGCGTGGCGATCGGGGGCGGTGCCGATGGAGTGGCAGACCGGGGTGGTGGTCCCTCTCTATAAGAAGGGGGACCGGAGGGTGTGTTCCAATTATCGTGGGATCAAACTCCTCAGCCTTCCTGGTAAGGTTTACTCCAACGTACTGGAGAGGAGGCTATGGCCAATGGTCGAATCTCGGATTCAGGAGGACCAGTGTGGTTTTCGTCCCGGCCGCGGAACACTGGACCAGCTCTATACTCTCCATCGGATACTCAAGGGTTCATGGGAGTTCGCCCAACCTGTCCACATGTGCTTTGTGGATTTGGAGAAGGCGTTCGACCGTGTTCCCCGGGGTGTTCTTTGGGGGGGTTCTCCGGGAGTGTTCGCATTGCCGGCAGTAAGTCAGACCTGTTGCCGGTGCATGTTGGCCTCCGCCAGGGCTGCCCTTTGTCACCGATTCTGTTCACTGTATTCATGGACAGAATTTGTAGGCGCAGCCAGGGGCCGGAGGGGGTCCGGTTCGGGGACCACAGGATTTCATCTCTGCTGTTTGCGGACGATGTTGTCCTGTTGGCTCCAACGAACCAGGACCTGCAGCATGCACTGGGACGGTTTGCAGCCGAGTGTGAAGCGGCTGGGATGAGAATCAGCACCTCCAAATCCGAGGCCATGGTGCTCGACCGGAAAAAGGTGCCTTGCCCTCCTCAGGTGGGTGGAGAGGTCCTTCCTCAAGTGGAGGAGTTCAAGTATCTCGGAGTCTTGTTCACGAGTGAGGGAAGGATGGAGCGTGAGATTGACAGGCGGATCGGTGCAGCGTGCGCAGTGATGCGGTCGCTGTATCGGACCGTTGTGGTTAAGAGGGAGCTGAGCCGAAAGGCAAAGCTCTCGATTCACCGGTCAATCTTCCTTCCCTCCCTCACCTATGGTCATGAGCTGTGGGTAATGACCGAAAGAACGAGATCGCGGATACAAGCGGTCGAAATGAGTGGCTGGGCGCTCCGTTAGAGATAGGGTGAGGAGCTCAGTCACACGGGAGGAGCTCGGAGTAGAGCCGCTGCTACTCCACGTCGAGAGGAACCAGTTGAGGTGGCTCGGGCATCTGTTCCGGATGCTTCCTGGACGCCTCACTGGGGAGGTGTTCTGGGCACGTCCCACCGGGAGGAGGCCCCGGGTAAGACCCAGGACACGCTGGAGGGACTATGTCTCTCAGCTGGCCTGGGAACGCCTTGGGGTCCCCCCAGACAAGCTGGAGGAAGTGTGTGTGGATAGGGAAGTCTGGGCGTCTCTGCTTAGACTGCTGCCCCCGCGACCCGGCAACGGATTAAGCGGAAGAAAACGGACGGACGGACAGACGTTCTCATTATCATTTTGACCCCACGGGAGGAGATCTTGCGTGGAGCCCCAGATTGAGGGAGATTATCAGTGGTCTTAAATGTCTTCAATTTTCTGATAATTGCTCCCACAGTTGATTTGTTCACACCAAGCTGCTTGCCTATTGTAGATTCACTCTCCCCAGTCTGGTGCAGGTCTACAATTCTTTTCCTGGTATCCTTCGACAGCTCTTTGGTCTTGGCCATAGTGGAGTTTGGAGTCTGACTGTTTGAGGCTGTGGACAGGTGTCTTTTATACAGATAACCAGTTCAAACAGGTACCATTAATACAGGTAACGAGTGGAGGACAGAAGAACTTCTTAAAGAAGAAGTTACAGGTCTGTGAGAGCCAGAGATCTTCCTCGTTTGAAGTGACCAAATACTTATTTTCCACCATAATTTACAAAGAAATTCTTTAAAAATCCTACAATGTGAATTCCTGGATTTTTTTTTTCACATTCTGTCTCTCACAGTTGAAGTGTACCTATGATTAAAATTACAGACCTCTGTCATTATTTTAAGTGGGAGAACTTGCACAATTGGTGGCTGACTAAATACTTTTTTGCCCCACAGTATATTTCTACATACACATATTTTGCAACCCTCTTTATCATAAGTAAATTAGCAGACCTAAAGCCCGCTGGTTTCCAGGGTTACACAGGCAGAACGATTAGCCTGACTGGACCCTCTGAGTTTGCCCAACTTCCGCCGTGGTTCAGCGGAGAGATGAGACCCTCTCTTGCTCCGTCGCCGTCCACGGCCTCCTCATGTTTTCGGGTTCGCTCCTGATGTTTCTGGCTCTTGGTATTTCGTCAGGTGAGGCTTCAGGACAATTTTGTTGATGGATGACAACTGTAAATAACCTATAGAGAATGATTCAAAAACCTCTAGACCTTAGTTTAACACTTAAGAGACATTGTTTCCATAAAAATGACAATAGAGGAGTAATTTTAGGTAATTTTATTGCAGGAATAATTATGTAAATTCCAAAAGCACAGCAAATGCAAAATTGATACAAAATACAATGGTGAGATACTGATAATAACTAATACAACCTTATTTTGTGTCAGCCTCCCAGCCCCACCTCCTTTTTACGCCACAGCCGCTTCCCGGCTGGCGGCCCTGTGGGGGCTGGCGGTGCCGACTATTTGAGAGCGCTCTCGTAAATCACTGGCGTTCTCCCTCTGCGTGTAACTCTTCTATTTTGGCCGACAAAGGACCACAGAAGTGGGAAGTGCGCTTCCTCCCACCCTCTGGCACAGTCAGCTGCCCAGCAAAGCTAAGCGGCTCCAAGACCCAGAACAGGCCTTGTTCCCTGGGTCGCCCAACCCAGTGCTCGTCGCTCTACCTACGTTTCCTGATGCCTACATTTCCTGATACTTATGTTTCCTGATGCCTACGTTTCCTGATGCCTACATTTCCTGATACTTATGTTTCCTGATGCCTACGTCTCCTGATGCCTACGTCTCATGATTCCTGATGCCTACATTTCCTGATGCCTACGTTTCCTCATGCCAAAATTTCTGATGCCTACTTTTTCTGATGCCCACGTTTCCTGATGCCTACGTTTCCTGGTGCCTAAGTCTTCTGATGCCTACGTTTCCTGATGCCTACGTTTCCTGGTGCCTACGTCTTCTGATGCCTATTTTTTCTGATGCTTTTGTTTCCTAATGCCTACATTTCGTGATGCCTAAGTTACCTGATGCCTATGTTTCCTGATGCCTACGTCTTCTGATGCCAACGTCTCCTGATGCCTATGTCTTCTGATGTCTACGTTTCCTGATGCCTACGTTTCCTGGTGCCTACGTCTTCTGATGCCTATTTTTTCTGATGCTTTTGTTTCCTAATGCCTACATTTCCTGATGCCTATGTTTCCTGATGCCTAAGTTTCCTGATGCCTACATTTCCTGATGCCTACATTTCCTGATGCCTACTTTTTCTGATGCTTTTGTTTCCTAATGCCTACATTTCGTGATGCCTAAGTTACCTGATGCCTATGTTTCCTGGTGCCTACGTTTCCTGATGCCTATGTTTCCTGATGCCTACGTCTTCTGATGCCAACGTCTCCTGATGCCTATGTCTTCTGATGTCTACGTTTCCTGATGCCTATGTTTCCTGATGCCTACGTTTCCTGATGCCTACATTTCCTGATGCCTAAGTTTCCTGATGCCTGCGTCTTATGATGCCCACGTTTCCTGATGCCTATATTTCCTGATGCCTACGTCTTCTGATGCCTACGTCTCCTGATGCCTATGTCTTCTGATGCCTACGTTTCCTGATGCCTACATTTCCTGATGCCTAAGTTTCTGGATGCCTACGTTTCCTGGTGCCTACGTTTCCTGATGCCTATGTTTCCTGATGCCTATGTTTCCTGATGCCTACGTTTCCGGATGCCTACGTTTCCGGATGCCTACGTTTCCTGATGCCTATGTTTCCTGATGCCTACGTTTCCTGATATCTACGTTTCCTGATGCCTACATTTCCTGATGCCTACGTCTTCTGATGCCTACGTCTCCTGGTGCCTAAGTTTACTGATGTCTAAGTTCCCTGATGCCTACATCTTCTGACACCTACGTTTCCTGATCCCTACGTTTCCTGATGCCTACATTTCCTGATCCCTACGTTTCCTGATGCCTACATTTCCTGATGCCTACGTTTCCTGATGCTTACGTTTCCTGATGCCTACGTTTCCTGATGCCTACGTTTCCTTATGCCCAAGTTTCCTGATGCCTACATCTTCTAATGACTAGAAGTCTCCAGTGACATGCCTGAATGACTATCGTCCTGTGGCCCTCACGTCTGTTCTTATGAAGACTTTTGAGCGGCTCGTGCTGGACTTCATTAAGAGCCAGATCCCTGTGAGTGTTGACCCGCTCCAGTTTGCTTACAGACAGAACAGGAGTGTGGAGGATGCCATCTCCTTTGCTCTGAACTCTGTCTACAGTCACTTGGACACTAGTAAATCTGTCGCGAGAATGCTTTTCATTGATTATAGCTCTGCTTTTAATTGTCTTGGTAAATGGATTTTTAGCTTTTTAACTGACAGATCTCAGAGAGTAAAAATCAATGACTGTTTTTCTGATGTTGTTTCTGTGAGCACTGGTTCTCCTCAGGGATGTATTTTGATTCCTCTGCTCTTTACTTTGTACACTCACGATTGTGTGTCCTCCTCTGACTCTAACTTGATCATCAAATATGCTGATGACACCACCATCATCGGTCTCATCAGTGACAATGATGAATCCTTTTACAGAGCAGAGATCGAACATGTTTTTCAGTGGAGTAAAGTAAACAATCTCCAGCTGAACACTGCAAAAACATGTGAACTTGTCTTTGACTTCAGTCGTAGCAGTTCTCACACTCCTGTAGTTATTGACAACTCCCAGGTGCAGATCGTAGAGGAGTGCAAGTTTCTGGGTTTAACTCTGTCTAACGACCTGAAATGGGACAAAAATACTAACCGGGTTGTTAAGAAAGTACGTCAGCGGCTCTTCTTTTTGCGGAAACTTAGAGAATTTACCACTAACTCTTAAGATTCTGCTTAACTTTTATCGCTGCACCATTGAGAGTTTACTTGTTGGTTCTGTGTCTGTGTGGTTTGGAAACATCACAGATAAAGAAAAGAGAGCTTTAAACAAGGTGCTCCGCTCTGCAAAGAGGACCGTGGGCTGTGAGCTTCCTGTTCTGGAGGTTCTTTATAAATCCAGACTTTTAAACAAAGCTCTTAAAATCATCAATGACTCTTCTGGCCACCCTGGGAAAGCCATGTTCCAGCTTCTTCCCTCTGGCAGAAGATATCGGTCGCTGAGATGCAAGACATCTCGCTATGCTAACAGCTTCTTTCCACAAGCTGTTAGGTGCCTAAACAGAGCACTTTAATTCCTGCTTTTACCCCTTGTATCGTTTTGTTGATCGGTGCCACAGTGTCAGCTGTTTTTTATTCTTTTATATTCAGTGTATGTGTATTTTATATTAAGTAAGTAAGTAAGCTTTATTTATATACCGCCTTTCACAGACCAGAGTCACAAAGCGGTTTACAATTGTTATTTTTTTTGAGCACTTGTCCTCTCACTCCACACAGAGATGGGAGCGGGGTCGCCGAACAGGAGGCACATGTACCTATTGTACATATTTTTAGTGGCAGGGGAAACCGGAGTACCCGGAGGAAACCTACGCAGACACGGGGAGAACATGCAAACTCCACTCAGAAAGGCCCTGGTCCGGCCGGGATTCGAACCCAGGACCTTCTTGTTGAGAGGCGAGAGTGCTATCCACTCAGCCACCGTGCCGCCCGGTTTTACATTGTATCGTGCTTTTTATTCTGTCGGTGCACACAGAGTACCTTTTTTTGCAAATGTATTCCAATGTAGTTTTTAAACTGCACATGGCTAATAAAATGAATCTGAATCTGACTACGTCTCCTGATGCCTACGTTTCCTGATGCCTCAGTTTCCCTGGACTGTTTTATCTTATCACCACAGATGAAAGTAAACGTTCAGACGATTCTAATATTTGAGCAGTGTATGTAGGCCTTGAAGGGTTTTCTGCTTATCTGTCACATGAGCAACTAGAAGCAATATGGCTGCAGGCGGTATGTCCTGTATCTGGCATGAACAAATATGTTCTTTACACAATTATGAGACCTTAATACATTTATTTAGAAACAGCACATTCAGCAATTTACACCAACAACTATTACTATAACACACTCAGGCCAAACAAGATCCAACAGTTGCCTATTAGTACTAAACTCTTCCTGGTTGCTCTGCAGCAGCTCTGTTTCTTCTGCTGTGGACCTGATTATCCTCCGACCCGTCCTTCATTGAGAGCGATGGATCCTGTGTTTACCCACTCCTCACCAAATGATCTTGTGAAATAGGATTTGCCAGAACTGTCTGCCATTTCTCTGTACGCTGCGGCAATTCCCCCACCGGGCCCTCGCCGCTGTCTGGTAATGTGTGAGGACTGATCCGTGCTGGTAAAACCGGCCCAGGGGAGAAGGGATTTGACAAAAGTAGTTCTCTTCAAGCGCTCGGGCTTTCATTTTACACTGACCAATACAAATAATGTGTTAGCTGAAATGGAGTGTGGCCGGTCGCAAGTGGATTGTTATTACAGTGGATTAACTTTAAAGTGTGCTATAACTCATTCACATATCGGTTTTGTGTATAAAAGGAAAAATGTTGGCTCTATTTGCTGATCGCTTATTTAGATATTTACCTTTTCAAATCTACTTCAAATCTACCACAATCTTTTATGCTGTCAATTTTATGTAATTTACGCAAAAAAAATGGCATGGCGAGATTACTTGGCACGGTGGCTGAGTGGATAGCACTCTCGGTTTTCAGCAAGAAGGTCCTTGGTTTTAATAAGGGTCGGAACAGGACCTTTCTGAGTGGAGTATATATGTTCTCCCCATGTCTGAATAGGTTTCCTCCGGGTGCTCCGGTTTCCCCTACCACTAAAAACATGAGCAATGGTTATGGTTAGTGAGTGGATGGTGTTGGTTGGTGGCTTTGATGCACCAGTGTGTTCGGCGACTCGCTCCCGTCATCACCGTGTGTGTAGAGAATGGAACAATATCTGAACTCTGAACATTGTAAAGTGCTTCGGGTGACCTTGGTCTGTAAAAATGCGCTATATAAATAAACATGACTTATGTGTATCTTTGTTTTTGATTTGTTTGAATCAAGAAGATAACGCTAACCATTTTTGTTCATTACTTTAATTATGTACTAAGTATTCTGTTCTGCTTCCGTCTCGTCACCCGGGGATACCAGGGTGAGGGAGGGTTTGTGTTCGGAAAGACCACTGGGAAAGCCACAGGTTTACATGGGTTCTGGAAAATTTAGATACAAAATATACTTTTAAAGAACAAAAAAATATTGTTAGATGAGAACCAGAGTGGGAAGGTCATGACCTTATTCTTATCTAAAAAATTCTGCAAAAAAACTAATCCAAACTAAGCCCAATCCTGTTTGATGCTAAGTTGTGGTGGTTGTCTTAGTGATCCGACGACTTGGCTCGGACTGTCTTCCCTCGTGAACGTGTAGCGTGTGGGCGACTGCACGATGGTCAGACAGGGCTGGTCTGATCCTCCTCGGCCCAGAATGATTTTCCTCTTGTCCTCAGTTAACTGATTTATGCAAACTTACTTTTATAGGACTCGTTGTGCAATTATGTTAAAACTGAACCTGTCACTAAAACATTATGCAAACGTCATTCTCCAGTTGACGTTTTAGTTATCTGACAGTCGAAGCAATTGTATTGAAGAAGATGACAAAGTCTGGGATCGCGTCTTAAATTCAGACAGAAGACATGTTTTATTGTCGATGGTAGAGACAGCACGATCAAAGCACACGATCACAGATACAACA